CGTTCGCAACAAACAATTTTTGCCATAAATAACGGCATTCAAGTCTAAAACCTTTTTATCTTAGAAAAGGGTCATCGCGACTTACTATTGATCTCTGAGATGCTTTGCGATCCTAGATGTCGATAATATACTCTATATTTTAAAGTATACGGTAACGTTACAGACACCTGCGCATTTTATCAGCTGCTTTATGATTTCATAGCTACTTCAACCCCAACCCGATCCCTAAAACTTACCCCTTAAACCCAATCCCCAGGCTCCTAGCCAACCCAAACCTCTAGCCCTAAAGAAGAATCGGAATTTCGCTTGGCCGTCTCCGGTTGTGGAAGAATCGGAATGCCGCTCGGCCGTCTCCGGTTGTGGAAGAATCGGAATGCCGCTCGGCCGTCTCCGGTTGCGGAAGAATCGGAATGCCGCTTGGCCGTCTCCGGCTGCGGATCGAAGAATCGTAATGCCGCTTGGCCGTCTCCGGTTGCGGAAGAATCGGAATGCCGCTCGGCCGTCTCCGGCTGCGGATCGAAGAATCGTAATGCCGCTTGGCCGTCTCCGGTTGCGGAAGAATCGTAATGCCGCTCGGCCGTCTCCGGCTGCGGATCGAAGAATCGTAATGCCGCTTGGCCGTCTCCGGCTGCGGATCGAAGAATCGTAATGCCGCTTGGCCGTCTCCGGTTGCGGAAGAATCGTAATGCCGCTCGGCCGTCTCCGGCTGCGGATCGAAGAATCGTAATGCCGCTTGGCCGTCTCCGGCTGCGGATCGAAGAATCGTAATGCCGCTCGGCCGTCTCCGGCTGCGGATCGAAGAATCGTAATGCCGCTTGGCCGTCTCCGGTTGCGGAAGAATCGGAATGCCGCTCGGCCGTCTCCGGCTGCGGATCGAAGAATCGTAATGCCGCTTGGCCGTCTCCGGTTGCGGAAGAATCGTAATGCCGCTCGGCCGTCTCCGGCTGCAGATCGAAGAATCGTAATGCCGCTTGGCCGTCTCCGGTTGCAGAAGAATCGGAATGCCGCTCGGCCGTTTCCGGCTGCGGATTGAAGAATCGGAATGCCGCTCGGCCGTCTCCGGTTGCGGAAGAAACGGAATGCCGCTCGGCCGTCTCCGGCTGCGGTTCGAAGAATCGGAATGCCGCTCGGCCATCTCCGGTGGAGCATCGGTGCTCTCCCGATTTTGAATTCAGTTGTCACGTGACATTTTCAAGCGCTGAGCGAATATTACGTTATGGAATATTATTTCGAGGTTGGAGAACAAGAATTTGACACCCAAATCGACACACTACCCTTATTTTTCGGAAACGTCAGAAACCTTCGGTATTTTTCCTTATATGTCGATTAATGAGTGGGCTTTCAATCTCTAGTTGAAAGACCATGGTTCTTCCAACTTTACAAATGCGACCATGTTGCATTGCTATATTAATCCTATAACTGACAAGAAAAATCCTATAATTGTGCTATTTTCAAGTTGGGTCACTAGGGGTTTACTGCGCCTAATTCAATATTTTCTGATTCGGTTTTGTGCGCTCTGGAAAATGCCTTAATTATATCACACCTACATTTAGCTTCAATGAAAATAAAATACAATCCTATGAAAATAAGACAAAAACTTAGTTTATGCTAAATGTTGCAATTTGTTTATTTTTTGAACGCATCAAGTAACCTTTAAAGTTATAGCGTTAATGACCCATAAAGGTCATTACATCGTACACCAATTTATTTGATTAGATCTAGGAAATTCAATTTCTCAATGGCACAGCTTTTGTTTCACGGTTGATTTAGTTGTCTTTCTGATTATTAAAAAACTATCATAACACGGAACTGACCAGTGCTTCGTTATGTTATCTAGAATGAATCTAAAATTGCATTGATTACAGTTTTAACAAACAACTTGTCTTTTATTTCATTCAGAATTATTTTATTTGAGTCCCGCTTCACCTATTTTGACGTTAATTTCATACGATGTAATGAAAAAGGTTCAACGTTATTACGGGCACTTAACGAAGGATTTACTTACAGAGTGGAACCTGCTATGTTGGTTGTTAGATATAGTAGGGAGGTTAAGATTCACGTTTTAAAACAATTCTACTGCACGTGAACGTGTAGAGCTCGCTCGGTAGAACTATGGTTCTCTATGGAGTAGTTCTCCAATTTGTATTGTAAGTACCTCAACTGAAATACTCGATTCTGATTGGTTGATTAGCGGTCAACAATATGTACTGTTGACCGCTACTAGGTACTGTTGACCGCTACTTTTGAAAAATAAGTTTTATGACGTTTACTTGGCCGATTGGGAATGAAAGGTATTCGGAAAATTATTGTAATTAGGTCGCTGAAAAAGTGAATTGAGAGCTGGACAGTAATCCCGGGAGTCGAAATATTACACGCTCACGTACAGTTTCTCTTAAAAACGTGTAACTTAACCTGCCTAATAATACGACTGTAAAATGGTAAGACGGTTTTAAACAGGATGAAGTGGAAGACTGATTTACACTTGAAAAGGGAGAGAAGTGTTCGAGATCCTTGGATAAGCATAAGTACCGCTTTTAAAAATACCTGAAACGGAAATCAAAGCCAACCCCTCTGACTTGTCTTGGATATTCAATGAGGGTTGATCAATGTTTTCCTAAAAATATATTGCCCTCACCCCACTCGCTTTTTTTAACATACAAAGGGGTGGGACATGGGCGTGAGAATGAGAATTTCGCATTCTTTATTTTGCTTCCATATACCATATTTATTATTTTATTTCCCCTCGTATTCCAAAATATGCATCATCTCTCATAAACGATGCTATAATCTTCCTGATTTTTGATACCATTGGAAAGCTGAGATTCCAATGTTTGATTCGTCAAAATTCAAGGTCTTGTGCGATGGAAACTTATTAGATATACAATATACATAGCAGTACTTCAAAGTTCAATGAACAGGAAATACATTTTCGATTTGGCTATTTGGTTTATACGTGCAAAACACTACCTTATGTTTGAGAGATACCTTAGATCGCTATCTGGAAGTATCTCTAATCTTGGTAAAACAACCCAGTGAAAGATTAGTCATCCAAATACTACATAATTTCTTATTTCTTATTTTTAGACTCTCGTATTCCATACTATGCCTCCCCCACACAAAACATATAATATTTTTTTCCTTTTTGCATTATGAAAAATAAATGAATTAATTCTTAGACGCAAGCTGTAATATTGTGAGGTCTCTTGCCAGAGGGTATTCGATAATGACAACACAGAGAATCGTATAGTTGTTAGCCCGCCACGGCGAGCTGGTCGGCTGTAATCACTTAACATTATTAGATATATTGTACCATCGAGATAGTACCTATAACGATTTATTTGAATTAAATTATAAAGTTAATAGACATAAATTGAAGTTTCCAGCAGCAAGAGTAATGAAACTCGATATGTTGTTGTCAAATATGGAAGATGTTCAAGATAAACTTATCTGATAGATCTCTGCTATATACACGTGTACGTTGTGAAATGGTGCACCTGACAAAGATGAGATATGCCATAGTTCACTGCTGAACTCACAATTACCTCTTCTGCGCGCGCAACACATTTGTTTGTCACAAAGTTTCCACCATCTTTTATCTGGATACCACACGTAGATGTGATGTTTTAATTTAATCGATCGATATGATGTTATATAACAAGTTTACCACGTGTTATAGTAATATGATAAAATCTGGCGATAAACCATTCGAAGCGTTTTTACAAAATTTTGAATCAGCCATTTTGTTTCGTCATCAGATTCGATCAATCAGCGACGGGACTGCGTCACGTATGTCAGTCATCGACCAATGAAATATAGGTTCACCAGTCATCTTTGGAATTTGTTGTTTCCCCCTTACTGGAAATAGAGAAATCAGATCTTAAATACGTTTTTAATTACCAAGTTTTTGGAAGGTGGTGAAATCAAGAGTCATTCTATTCTGCATTGTAATCCTTTCAGTAATTTCAAATTTTATGCAACTAGTCTTAATTTCAAATTTTATGCAACTAGTCGTGATTTCAAATTTTATGCAACTAGTCGTAATTTCAAATTTTATGCAACTAGTCGTAATTTCAAATTTTATGCAACTAGACGTAATTTCAAATTTTATGCAACTAGTCGTAATTTCAAATTTTATGCAACTAGTCGTAATTTCAAATTTTATGCAACTAGTCATAATTTCAAATTTTATGCAACTAGTCGTAATTTCAAATTGTATGCAACTAGACGTAATTTCAAATTTTATACAACTAGTCATTATGGCCCCTCCTCCAAACACATATATCTACCGAAATGTTTGAGAAATATGATCCATGGAAATGAAATTCGAGATTTAGGATTAAGATTATGATACCTTTGAAAATTCAACCTTGACATACCAGGTATTCTCCCTGAAAATCGTAGACAGTGCTAGTTTTTATCAGAAACGTAGTTAAATAGTATGACTAGTATATAGTTAAAGAGTAGTAAATGACTGGTATAACATTTTATTGCAAATCTGACCTATGACGAGGCACTATATATGGATTGAAATCATAAAATGCAATTGAAAGGGAGTGCACAGTCTTATTATAGCGCATAATTCATTTACTTATGGGACACTCTGTATATTAAGGAATTTCGAATTCTAAATTTAGTTTCATATTTATTTATACGACTCTTTGGCTATCTTGTTCTCAAAAGTTTATCTCACCTATCCTCAATACGTTCTTTCCTCCTATGTAAAATAAACTACTACAGTGGGAGGCACAGATTATGTACAGAGTGGGCCAAAAATAAACGATCAGTCACGAAAAATGCTAGACCGAGTTATAAAACGATTAAGTAGTGTGAATTATATCAAAAGCAAGAAAATTAAATTTCCATCTAAATGGTACATTTAAAACAAATACATATCTTACATTAGGGTGGTTCGACTAAACAATATTTCAATTGTAATTCATTTATTTTGGCCCTCCTTGTATCTTTTAATGATGTTCATTGTTCTTATGTCCTGTTTTCAGGTTCCTGAGATACCTTTGTGACTTCTACAGCTGGCGGAATACAAGGAACAGATGAATAAAAGCAATAAGAAGTTTGAAAAGAATTTGTGCATATGATTTTGAAGGTGCTATGTGCGAATATCTTCTAATGTGAAACATGATACATAGACAAGTCAATCGAATGATACGATGCTTAAACTGGAAATAAATTGCAGAATGGTTAGTCGAATTACATCAAATTTAGAAGCGGATTACTACGCAATAGTTCCCGTATTTAACTAAAACGACAAATAAACGGGCCTAGCGTAAATATTCCATTGACAATTTCTGATGGAATAAGGATCCATGGATTAGAGGCAATCGTAGTAGGGAATTATTTGGACTGTTGTTACAATATATTCATGCTGGGGATTGCGCTTCTGATTAAGAAATCCGCAATTTACATCGTTTTTCAATTTCCCTAATATCCTCGGACAAGACGGAGATAAAACACTTGCGTAGAAGATTTGATTAATGGACTACACAATTATGGACGTTTATCAACTTTAATTGGTATTCTGGCCGACAATGCGATAGTTTTGTCGGGGCTTTTTAATATACATGCTATCATGATGCTTAGTGTCTCGATGTCAGCAGGCACTGGCCAGTTTCGCGCTGATGATGACACGAGAAACCCCATACATCACAACGACAATATTTCAAACTTCACTAAGCAAATTAATGATGTCATTACAGAATCTGTGGATCCCACGCAGTCGCTTTTTCTTGAGGAGTTAACTAATGGCTATAACAACGTTTCCAATGGGACCACTTCACCATTTGACCCATCTGGATCACCTGCCTTTTTCTACGAGCTCTATGTATACGGATATATCTTTCCTCCTATAACTATTCTTACGATTGTCGTCAATACGCTCGAGATGATCGTTTACTCTCACCCGAGTATGAGGTCACCGACCAGTTATCTGTTAGTGGCTATGGCCTTGGCTGACATGCTTACTGGTCTCATCCCCCTTCCCGTGTTTTTCTTTTACTATACGTTCGGGGGCTATAGACATTACATGAGCGTCTCTGGGTGTTACATATATCAATACCTCAGGAACATTTTGCCAACTATTATGCATACTGCTTCAATATGGCTTAATCTAGCTCTGGCGATACATAGGTATATAGGGGTGAGCCATTCGAAGGACATCAGAGGGATATATTGTACAAAACGGGCAGTTTGGACAGGCATTCTCATTATTCACGTATGCGCAACGTGCGTACATTTACCACGCTTTTTTGAGGTGACATTCCAACCAATTAAATTCCCAAGTAAAATTGGAAATAATGTTCTAGAGGAGGCATGTATTCCGGTCGAGAGTGATTGGTACGCGTCTGTGGACTTTACCTACTTTAACATGTATTTCATCACAAGGGCGGCAGTAATTCAAGTTCTTCCCTGTTTGCTGCTGGGGATCTTCAATTGTTTATTAATGAAGACAGTTGTCATGGGCAACCGGGCCCGAAAAGGACTTCTCGAAGATAACGCTAAATTGGAAGCGAGGCTATCAAAAGAATCGATTAGGACTACGGTTATGCTTCAAGTGATTCTAATTCTTTTTCTTATATCGGAGGTCCCCGTTGCTGTTATTTTGATCATCAAAGTAATCCAGATGAACACGGGGATATTAATCATTCATCCAAACGCTGAAGCGATATTGGCCGTAATGTCGAATTTAATTATTTTGTTGAGCTACCCTATGAACTTCATCGTGTATTGCAGCATGAGTAGAAAGTTTAAAAAGACGATGCTAAAAATCTTTTCACAAGACTGCTGTGATAAAAAGTCAGTTGTGTGGCTTTAACTAAATTCATTCATTTGTAAATATAAAATATATAGATGCTACAGTATATGATATTACGGACCTACACGTAATTAAGATGTAATTTTTTAATTGTATTCTTAACATTATTATGTAAATAGTATAATCTACAATTATCTCATTAAACATTTATTTCAAAGTCGTTATATTAACTTTTAGGTATTTGTCATTTGTTGACACGATGAGAGAACGTGTCACGTGACCAATTCACTATCATTCATTGTAGATTCAGTTTATTACGAATAAATGCCAATGTATTGGGGAAATGAGAGAATTATTAATAATGATCATGAATAGTAGTAATGTTTTTGTTGTTGCCATCTTTTCAAATCAACCAGTTCGGATATATAGTACAGGTTTATACCATGGGCCCACTAGTTATGGGGCAGCATGGAAAGTCCATGGGGGCAGGCGAGGCAAGTACAATGTCTATCGTTCTCAGCAACATTTATTGTACAATAGTTAAGGCTACTATTATCGACGTTTTAATATATCTTTCTGGTTTAACTTCAAGTATTGCTTCACCTACCGTAATTTATTTGCCCAGCCTGTTTTTGAATTCTGACTACAGACCCGAATAGATTGATCAAATTGGTCTTAAAACTGTGGTAAATTGTATTAAAATTGTTCGATTTACAATTGGGACATTTTTATTCATGACGCAAAAGAACAAAAGTAGCATTTGATGATTACTTTGTATTCATCAGTTAAAGTGTAACTGGAATTCCTCTGAAAAACTCACAATAAAATTTTTATACCGTTTGAGCCTTGTCATGAAACAAATGTTTCAAAAGCGGCCAGCTACTAATACCTGCAATTGTTTACCTTTTGAGTCCATTCACATTACATTCTACATCATGCAATGATAAGCGATTTTTGATATTTACTCATTTTACTAAAATAGTTTGAAAGGTATAATGACTGATTTCACTATTAGAGCGTATAATTTGTACATCACTGTCAGTATGCATCGTGAGCAGAGAATTCTATCAAATTGAATTGGAATAGTATGTAATGGGACTGTGTCTTATCAGGATACGTCCACGTTTTCAATGAAACAACGCCCTGAACTAAAATAACAGTTCATTATCTTAGAAAACCAGATTTCAAGCTATGTAAAAATAAATCAAAGGTTATAATGAAAACACGCGCTACGCGCTAACGCGCCACGCGCCAATGCGCTAATAGAAAATGATCCTTCCCCCACGGTGTGTGCGCATGTTTTAAGCACATGTTTATGATTGGTCTATACCCTTGGCCCAGGGACATGTATAATTAGGGTTATGACTCCCTGGGAACTTGTCAAAACATTGACACTTCAAAGACTGTATAAATCACCGCTAACCTGTCAATCAGACTTTGATGTGAACTTTGCGGCCGCAGGAAATAAACAAAGCCTCTCGAAAATTACACTTTTCAACTTACGATTTCTCTAAAAATATAAGACCAATTAAGATGTTCTTCACACCATTAAAAAACAGAATTCAACTTCAATTTAGGAAATAATTCCAAAACTAAATGAACGTGTACTTTTCTCTGTATTTGACCTGAAAGAACATGAGTAACTTAGAATTAATAAATATTTACGGCCAATTACCGGACAATGATAAAACACGCTGGTCGGGTTTACATTACTTTTTAAATCGTCTCTTATTTAAAACTTTAATTCCAAATGAAATACAATCCTGTTTTCAACAATATTCCTGGTAAAATAGGTAATACAATTCACGGGGACTGACGTAATTCAAAACTTTTTAAATCTAAAATCAAATTGAGAAAAACGAAAGCAAACATGAAAGGGGGGTTCATAGGGGTCTTGGAAATCCATATACACTATTTTTCACAAGCCCTTCAGTCTTATACCATTTACAGCATTTTTCACCCCTTTTACATGTATAACATACAGTGTATGGGGTGCATGAATGCACCTACTCCCTATAGTACTATATTTTACAAAAAGGTCGGGTAAATAATATATCTGTACGATAATTTTGAAATTACCGTTGAGAAAAGTTTGGATAATATTCAGAAGGAATTAACATAATGCAAGAATCCACGTAGTACCAAATGTATAATCATACGGCAAATAGGCAGTACACAGCCCCGAAGCCAGGGGGGTTCGGAGGGTGACTTTGGAATTTTTGAAAAAGTGACCCCCCCCCCTGGAAAATCCTGGTTACTGTCCTGGCATATGGCATATAGAGACTACTATATAGAGATCTGAATTACCCCCATAAACGTGGGACTGATTTTTCAAATCACCCCCACAATCAGGCCCGTAGCCAGAGGGGGAGCTGGGGGAGCGGAGCTCCCCCTCTGGCCAGAGATTCTTTCAAAATCATGCAGTTTTTCACCATTCTGAGATTTTTTTCATGATTATTAGCCAAAATTGTGAAAAAGCTTCCCCTGGAAAAAAGCTGGCTACGGGCAAGCCCCCACAACTACTTGTGTATTGAAATCCCAAATTTATGGGGATAAGCTGGATCTGCAGTATTCGTTCAAACTGCCTTTAAGAAATACCTTTCAGGACGACAGGCTCCTTTTGGCACCACTATTTTTATTTACATACATCAATGAAATGACAATATCTCCAGTTCTATTCAATATTTTTACACCAAATTTTGACAAGTTGTTCTTATGTTATAATCCTTACTGAAAATTGTATTTCAGTGATAAAATTCAAGGTATGGGTCCCAGGGTGTAGGTAATTTGCAGTTTTCCCCTAAAAACCGCTCTTACTTATCCGTCACCAGGGCCAACTTTTTCCTCTTATATTCACGTCGGGAAAGGGTTAAATTTCATAATAGGCTTCTTTAATTCTCTTAAAACATATGTTTATTTAACTTATACGATGCCATATACGATAAATGTTGCCCCCTCTTATGCGGCCATACACAATATGGTTTTCCCCTCCTCTTATACGATAACCCTATACACCCCCCCCCCATGAAAGCGAAAGAGAGTAACCGGGCACGAAAAGAAAAATGGAAAAATATAATTGCGACGCCTGAATTATTCCACCGTTTGGTAAGTCATGTGAGATATAACTTCAAATACAAAGAGTAAAGATATATAAAACATCCATGACTTTTAAGAGGTAACATGCGACAAATAAACATTATATTAAGTCATTAGTCAAGTAGTCGGGCCCCGGGGTCAGATTTCGAAACGGGATTTTTCTCGCCGATGGATGGACCCAAATAATGCAATGAAATAGGGAGCATATTCGCATATCTGCGACCATTCATCTTGTAAGGTGCTACTTTCTATCTTCCTTTTAAATCAGATAAAACGCACTGACAATCGATCTGATGAGCCACCTAATCTCTTCACTCACTCGATTTTTATACATGTTCCCGGGCCTGTGGGAACGATCATTCTGAACAGTGCGTTAGTGCGCTAGCGCGTTAGCGCGTAGCGCGTGTTTTCATTATAACCTAAATCAAAGGGCTTGGAATATCAAGACGAAGATACTCAGAAATGCAAATATTCGAACTCTACACATTCCTGTACTGAGCATTGTACTTGAATTATTCTATATTTGTAGACGGTGTGCTTATTGCAGCGTTCCCATGCCAATTTGTAAAACTCCATCATTAAAATGATATGATTATGACGTTCGAGTCACGCATCTACTTGATGCTTTGATTTGATATTAGTTTTGAAACAGGAAATTCAGATTACGTGCTAAGCCAAGAGCTTTAAGCCAGAATAGTTCGTTTTCATGGTTTCTATTATCGTCCCAAACGAACAGTTCGTGAGGGTAGCTGGTGAAAAGATGTAGTTTTAGGCATAAGCAAAATATTTTTTTCAGATAGAGAACGCGTAACGGTTCAAAAATTGAGGGAATAAACATCCTAAACGTCTCATCAAGCTTTTCATTTTACACCAACCTAATGTACGTACGTATACGTACCTTATAGAATATCGGTCGCGTGTACAGGACGGATTAACGATATGAATTTGATCATACAACTCCAAATGATTAGATTTCCACAGTATCCAGGATGGCCGGCCCCTAAGGGACTCCAGACTCACAGTTTTAGTCGAAGCGATCTAAAAATAAGGCAACATTGAAAGGTTTGCGAGACTTTTCATTGACATAGTACTCCGTCCCAGGTGAAGTGACTTTTGAAATTCATATTTCTGGTAATCGGAAATATATTTTGATCAGCTATTACTGCTCCATATGTGGAGAAATGACGTACTAGGTTGCACACGGGGTAGGACATTTGAAAGTTTTTCACCATTCTGAACACTTTCAAGTAATTTTGGCCCATAATGATCAAATTCAATTTGAACCCCCTGCATGCAATTTTTATCAAGATCCTCGCCTATCAAGGAAATTTTCACCGGTTGAGCACCTGTCAACATTACCGTTTACTTATTAATGTAAGGTCTAGCAGGGGTCCATAAAAGTTTTAAAATATCAAATCCTGAACTTTACAACTGATGATCTACCAATGAATTGTTTTTTGAAAGGTGATTAACATGACATATCTATTTTATTTGTTAAATTGAAAATAAGACCGACTATTTTTCTGGATTCTCTGTTCAAATTTTGAAAAATAATTGACGCATTTATTTTACCTTCGTTGCTCATCTATGTTGTTCTTCATGATTTGACATGTATTAGAATACTATTTATTTGATGTGTAATTCATGTTACTTATTTGTTTTTATAATTGGTGTTCCCCAGGGTTTCTTATTGGCAATGAAAGTTGAATCCTATGACATACATAAATGTCTGGGCCCGTCGAATGGGGGACAGGTGTGTATTGGGTGCGACTGAACCCTTTATGGCGCCCCTTGCTGAAATTGAAAATGGAACTTTTAATTGATTTTTCTAATTGATTCAAATAAATGAAAGTGCATAGAAATCACTGAATGGCATTGCACCCCTTGTAGCCACCTACCAGAAAACTGTTACATTCAATAATTTTTAATTTTCTACTGTTTCAAACACAAAAAGTGTCAAGAAATCATCAAATAGTACCCTTCCCAAAGCAATTGAAAAATAATAAATCTGGATTTTATTAAATTGTCTCTTACACTTAAAGTTTGGGTAAAAGGATCCGTCAAGTGTCATCATAAATTAGGTATAAATAAAATATATGTAATTTCGAATTTTATGAAAAATTGACTTAACATTGGGTTATCATGTCATATTGATATATGATGATATCCGCATGTTAAGTCAATAGAGCCGAAGAAGAAAAGATTGAACTTCGCAAAGCTTTACCTACTTTCCAAGCTCTTGATCAAGGTTTTTCTTAACAATGTTCTCTAATGATTTAAATATAATTACATTTAAATTACATTTTTAATAATTTCTTTTATAATTAATGTTTTTTTAAATTGGACTTCTGCTGAAATCTTAAATTAACAAAAATGTGTAATGTTGTATAATGCTCAACAACATATTCAGAAATAGTCAATGATGTAATCATAACTAATATGGACTTATTTAAATCGTTAGACTGTAACAATAATTTAAAAAAAATAAACCAGTGTTTAATGAGTTATACCACCCATCGGCCAATGTGAGTTCGGAGCCCAATTTGATCTTATTTGTCAGTTGAAATCATATAAAATGTTCTTGATGGCAAACAGTTTTATGATATTTTAATTGTTTTTTATTTATTGAAAAGAATTTCTTTAAAAACAAAATTAAATTCCAAATAAATGATGAACGGTTATGTTGTGTGATGCTCAACAAGCAATACCATGTTCAGTGATATTAAATCTACCAATACATTCTATTTAAAACAATGCTGCTTCAACAGGAGGAAGTTATTAAAATTTTGTCATTTCCTTTAGTACTACTATTCCAGCCTGGGCTTCATAATTTCATGGCTTCATGCTGCATAATTTCTCTAATATTTTGGAGAGAGGTTTCATATCCCTGATACAATAAAACACCAGAGCAAAGGTACACGGAAAGGAAAATTGTATATACACTTGGTTTAGTAAGTTGCCAACAGATATTCCCTAATCTGCAGTGAGAGGTGTTATCGGGGTGTTATCGCTGAGATTACGATGAGCACGTGGAGACTGATGAGAATTCAAGGGCATTCACTCTCATAATCAATTGCAATGGCTCTAAGTACTGTCAATAGATGGAGAAAATTCACTTGGTTTTATCATATACTTCAACATGTAAAAATTGCTTCAAAAATCTCCAAAATCAAACTTTAAAGTAAATAATTATAAAGATAATTTTAAAACAGCAATATTTACACATGAGCCAATGGGAGGTGTGAAGAATATCCCATTTGAGAAAAATAGTTAACTGCCATCTATACGTGTCCTGGTTGTGGCTGGCTCCCATTCCAATTATCACCAGTACCATGTAATGTGAGGGAACATTCAACAATTCAACAACGAGCATGCTTTTAAAAATGGAAGGAGTCTCTCATCAAGTATATTATACTATATCTTAGACCCTCTTTTGGGAAAGGAAAGTATTTTTAATATGTACAGGGTGGTTCCAAAAAATGGGACACTTGTATTTCAAAAATAAATATTGATTTTCTTGATGAAAACATGTCATATTATATACCAGTGGATAGAGAATGTACTTATCTTTAATTTGGTATATCATAAGCTCAAATTAATTATAATGTCTGTCAACCAGCGTCCATAATATAAATGATGTCATTTTCATTTCAAAACGGGTTCTCCAAAACTTGCAAAAAGTTTTTTGTCAACTTTATTTACATAAACAGATATTCAATATGCCCACCATTTTGATCAAATGTAGCCCTCAATTTAGGCCTAAACTGGTCAATAGGACCATTGATATGCTGTTGAGACAATGAATCTCACTTCTCAATAATTCTATCCTTAATAAGGGACTGAGTTGATGTAAGGGGTTCATGATAAACCAATTTTGTTAGTTCCCCCCAATATGTGGTCGTCGCAGACGTTGATATCGGATGACCCAATTATGTTGTTTTTGGACCATCCTGATATGAGCTCATTTTTGAATCATTGCATTTTCCAACAAGATGGGGCTCCAATAAATAGATCCCACAAGAGTGTCAAATGGTTAAAAGAAAATGTGCCTAGATTCATCCCCCTTAATCACTGCCTCCCCAGATCACCAGATTACCCAACATTTGCGACAACCACGTATGGGGAGAACTAACAGAATTAGTGTACCATAAATCCTTTACTGTACATCTATTCAGTCCCTGAAGGACAGAATTATTGAGAAGTGAAATTCATTGTCTCAACAGCATATCAATGATGCTATTGACCAGTTTAGGCCAAAATTAATGGCTACAATTGATCAAAATTTATCAAAGTAGTGGACACATTGAACGTCTGTTTATGTAAATAAAGTTGACAATAAAATTGGTTTTTTGAAAACCCGTTTTGAAACAAAAATGACGTCATTTATATAATGGACGCTGCTTGACAGACATTATAATAAATTTGCACTTATGATATACCAAATTAAAGATGAGTCAATTCTCTATCCATTGGTATATAATATGACATGTTTTCATTAAGAAAATCAATATTTATTTTTGAAATACGAGTGTCCCATTTTTTGGACCACCATGTAGATTCATATGTAGAGGGATAATATAAAAATGCAAGGTATCGTAATCTTCAAATAGCGATTTGGTGGGTAGTCGTATTCGCTAAAATATCCCTTCGGTTTGACGTACATTTGGCTTCATTGAACTCAATTTTGAAAATATCTATACATATATCTGAAGAATATTTATAGATATATACCATATGAATATATCTTACCTTCTTTGTTGACAATCAAAATATCAACTTACAGGTGCAATATCAGCGGATATTTCCACTGATTAATTGATGATAAGTTTTCCTTCGAGTTGAAAAGTAAGCCAAGGTCAAATGTCAATTAGAAAACATTGGGAAAAATACTCGTTTATAAAAAATCGTGTTTTAACGATGATTTTCCCGATGTTGAGGACACGACTATGCTTTGTCGTGATGTGTCACTTAGATCTGATAATGCACATCCGATGTTGTACAATTTCCTAAATATAGAAACCAAATTACACTTGGAAATGATTTAATAAAACACATGGGGACATTTATGGCCCGTTTAATAATTATCCAAATGTCACGGTGATTTCATGAGCAAGAATTAGAATATAATTTAAACTGCAGAATATAGATAAATCTGATAGTGAGCGTCTCTTATTACACTGAGAAACCTTTTTATTCACATTGACCGAGAAAAAGCTGTTCATTGTCAATTAATGTCCTGCATAATCACGGCATAATCGTCCAAATCGGCATTTCTACTGCCGCTTAAGTGTTCAAAAAGATATATCATATATTATATATCATATGGTGGTCGGTGGGGTCGGTCTTTTTGTAAATCTTTCATAATGAGTCACTTTTGTTAGATATACGACATATCGTACATATCTTCAGTAATGCTTATTTGAATGTCTGGTCTCTGTGGGTTCAACCTTTTACCATGATATAAGTTTTCTTTTCTTTGTAATGTGTTTCAATTGTAGTGCAAAAATGAAAATAAAACCTTCATCACCCTGTCCTTGGGTCAGCCTGTGCCTATTAGGGTTGAACAAAACATGACCAGTTGATTTTTCAGTATTAGTGGAAAACAAGTGCCTGTGTAGAGAATGCACTGCAAGAGAATAAACGAGACCGATTGATTTGAGATTACCTCTGATCCCAGGCTCTGATCTACACATAGATCGAGTACCTGTGGGATTAAGATAGAACTAAAGCTCATCCAAACATGTTTTGGATCACATTAACATGGTTCAGTCACAACTCTAAAGTGACAACGTGTCAGCCAATCGAAGCTGCAATGTGACCTCAACCCTTACAATGGGAATTATAAATACCCAATAAAATTTGGCATCAATACTGACATAAATCTAGAAATGAATTAAAATAATTTATTCTAGGTTTTTGGAAATATCAACATCGCCAATGAGTTTTTTATTTATTTTAACAATGAGACCAGTGTCATTTTCATTTCAATTTCCTCCACCAAATAGGACATAATAATCCTTAATGGATTGCAGCAATTTATGCAATTAGACTCTTTAATTCCAATAGCTATAAAAATGTTTGTAGCGTCCTTCCTTCCGTGTTTGATATTTGCTCTCGACTCAACGCTGGAAATAACTTATCCGGGAACATGGTACGTATTATATTTTACTTTTCATGGTCGAAAGTGTCCATTCAAATTGTTTTTTTATGCATATTGAAATTGGGTTTGGCTATTGCGCTGAGTATGTCCCCGTTGTGTTTAACAAAGAAAGATCCTCTTTTCTGTACATAAAATCTCCTAAATCTCTATTAGACAGTAAAATACATACAGGCATATCGCCTAAAATGACATTCGTATGATGCTAGACTCGACATTCAACCAGGAATTAGAGACATTTTGTCACTCACCATTTATTAAGCAGTAAAAGTAATTTGGTTACAAAATGTTTCTAGTTTCTTGGTGAATGTCGAGTCTCGCATCATACAAATGTAATTTTAGGCGATCTGTCTGCATGGGGTGAGATACGTTTAGCTCTCAAGATCGTGGCATTTTTTCTATTCTAACAGAAAGGACATACAAGGAAGTCAGCTACTCATTAATCTACAAGTTTTCGATGCGGTTATAATGTAACATTCGTTACACAGACTCCAAGCGCTGGTCACGTTTAAAACGCTGTCATCACGTTTAAAACGTTTGATATAAGACGGTGTGCTCTACCTTAACATATAAGTAACTGATAAATTGTATTGTTTAAAATCAACAGGACGATCGGGATTCATGTGTCCTAGTCATAGAGTTTACATTTCCATCGTGATTTGAGACAGTTCAAGACATTGCACAGTGCATTAGTTATATTTCGCATGTGTTGTATAATAAACTTTTTTGCCTAGTAAATAGTAGTGGTTTTCCATCCTACATTGAAATTGTTTCCCAATAACATAATATATCTTGCATCTTATTTTAGAATAATCTCAGTGGCGTTTTCAATTTTAGGTGTCGATTTATCTATTGGCCTTGATGTGCTTGTTGCCAGTGTGTTTTGCAGGGATGGCATTCCCAGTCCCTGAGTCTACCTACGCTCAGGACATGTTCAGAAAAATCAACCCTGCTATCGTGAGTTTTATAATATTGAAATACAAATGTTGTTGAATAAATAAAAATCTAGATCATGTACGAGTCGGCTTAACACATATACTTTTTCGAAAAAAATCAAACTTTGCTCTTTAATGATTAATGCATTACTCCATTACTATTGAACACTCCTCGTATATCAATACAAAAATGTGTTTCAAAAATGAATACATGTGAATTTTAAATTAATAAGGACTGTATATAATGTTGCCGTCGTATTTTTAGGAATGGGACCCCACGAATTTCCTTGTTGACCTATCTGGACCCTATACCCTCTGCAAATATAGTGATCATTACGGACCAATCAACGTGTACGAAGTGTCCAAGGATGGCGGTTCATCCATCGGCGGCTATATTGAAACCATCAAAAGTTCAGGCCACACCGTGACTAAAGCTGGCAAAGACATACGAGTAGTTATTGCTGGGTGGATCAAAAAGAATCCATTCAAAGATCAGGTACTCAGTCATTGGGAACTAAGGCCCTTTAATTCACAGTCTTTGGTGAAACAGGGCCCTTTAATTCTCAGTCAGTGGGGACACAAGGCCCTTCAGTTATTAGTTATAAGTGAAACAAGGCCCTTTAATTCACAGTCATTAGAGAAACAGGACCCTTGAATTCTCAGGCATTGGGATTCAATTCTTAGTCATATGTGAAACAAGGCCCTTTAATTCACAGTCATAGGGAAACAGGGGCATTTGAGTTTCAAAACAGAACCCTTTAACAAATCAACTTTTCAAGTCTTACTTACAGATTCAGTGTACCGCAACCGCCATCTATTCTTAGCATCTAACAATAGTTATTAAAGTTTGGCCATAATTGCCATCTTTAATAGGTTACATTTTGTATTCACGTGATTCTTTCAGATCAGAGAAGCAAAACTATTTGGATGCAGTATCCAGCCTTCGTGCCCAAATGGACGATCTGTTATTGGATGCCTGTTCAGCCCAAAGTGAGTTGAATAAGAGAAAGCTTCTATGCACGTAATACAATTTATATTTTGATAAATGTTCAAATATTGGTGAAGACATTTTTTCTTTCCTGTTTTACACATACAATCCAATCGTAATATAATCTAAAAGCCCACGTATCTTTATATATACTCACCTAGTTACGCTGACGTCAGCGTAACAAGATGGAAGAACTTATTTCTCGATTCTACACCACTTTAATGAGTCAAGTTGTGAACAATAATTTGGCTCAAAGTTAAGGAAGATAGTCTAGTTTGAGAATATGCAGGCGGTTCTATGTTTGGTATATCAACGAAGACGCAATTCACATATTTAGTTCCTCGCTTTTGTTACGTTGACGATCCTCATGAATATTGTCACATTGGCAATATTCATGAAGAACGTCAACGTAACAAAAGCGAGGGACTAAATATGTAAATTGCATCTTCGTTAATATACCGAACGAAGCCCGGAAGTTCTTCCATCTTGTTACGCTGACGTATCATCAGCGTATTTTAAGATAATTAAATGTTGAACCCAAAGTATTACTTCTCCAGCTCATCGCCGAGAAGTAACAAGCAAGAAATATCTGCATTTACAACAGGACTTCAAATATTTTTTTCATGTGAAAACAATGTGTTCTATTTTCAGGTTTCAAGGAAATCAACCACGCCCAACAAACCCAGGTCCAAGTACGTATAAGCATTAATCATATATTTTGACGTTGAAAACGTGTTAATGAACGCCTCTTTTCAAAGCCACTCTCCTGAGTGGAAATACGTCAGTTACACTTCATTATAATATCGTATGTAGTTCCGCAGTGTTTGCCTTAACGTCATAACTATTTATCATATGAATTCGTTCTGTTTGTATCTCCATTCACGGTGACCAAGTGTTAACAGTGGAGATTGTCCCGGTCGTCTTTTTCAAACGATTTAGACGTGTTTTTTGGAAAACTTAATGGGTAGGTTGATAAAGGTTATGAAATTCATGTCACTTGACTTTATGTAAATGTAAGTAATTTATATTGCTTACCATACTATATATCCTAACTTCAGGTATCCGAAAACGCGTTATTTGCACAAATCTTATGCTATCGCCTTGTTAAATCGGAAAATGAGCTATTCTGGCAGTGTTACACATATTTTTTGCCTGAAAATCACTAGCCTGCCTTGTATTAAATGAATACATCGATTCATAAGTAAAGTACTAACAATATGTGCGAAAACCACAACTTAAAAGAGCTTAAATAAGTAGTAATTGACCGAATAATTCTTTTTTGGATTAAACTATTTGGACGTGTCCAAAAATATCCCTTCTCCATCGTTAACTCCACTTTCTACATTTACAATCATTTATGGCAATTCTAAGATAAAGACAGTTAAAATACGAAAATTTCATGGGCATTCAATATATATTGAATGCCCATGGATGGAATGACCGCCAAAATAGATACGTGGGTATGAAGAAGAACATCTTAGGTAGAAGTCAAGTAATGTTTGTTTTTAAAATATAGAATATTCTTACCTTTTTGCTCCATTCTAACGAATGTCGTATTCCACGTTCTTACAAAACACGTCTAAATCGTTTGAAAAAACACGTCCAGAACAATTTCCACTTGGACACCGTGTCTATTGGCAAAGGTGACTTAAACCTTATTTGGGGCCTTGAGCGCCACTCTTGTTTTAATAACCTAACTATTTACATAATGAATTCGTTGTGTCTGTAAAGGTGACTTAAACTTTATATGGGGCCTTAACGTCACTCTTGTCTTAATAACCTAACTATTTATATATGAAGTCGTTCCATTTGTTGTTCCAGTTGTCAAACAAAAGGCATTGGCGTTCACATCTGACCAATATGAACTAGCAGCGAAAGTCACTCAGAAAGTACGTCGTCCTACCAAATGTAAATACACTCCCCTCCATAAAGTTGGCAACCTTAGCTCCCCAATTGAACTACGTAACTTGCGATGGAAATACTTATACTATTGATGGAAACATATTTGACTTTATTTCCAATACATCCAAATTTTCTCAATTTTTTCCTAAATTGCAATAGGTCGAAAATTGATGATTAATTTCAAGAATTTTTGAAAATCGACATTCCCATGTTAACCAATGGGAAATGGAAGGTTTGCAGCAAGTCATATGACAGAATATCCATCCACACGAGTCCTTGCAAATACAAGTTAAGTAGGCAATTGAATTTGCTAACTTTATTTAACAAAAATTGATACGTTTCTTCAGGTTCAATAAAGTTATAGGTCTTTTATAAAGTCAAAATTGTTTTTCAAAAAACCTCTCCCATTGAAATAACACAGGAGGCGAAAAATGATTTTAAAAAATGACTTTGAAACTCTGTAACTTTCGTATTCATCAAGTTAACTAAACCCTTAGTGTACAAAAAAGTTAGACAATTCAATTTTCTATATGAAATTATTTTTGCTGAATCTTTTACTGAATAAATATTCTGATTTCTGATTTGCCCCTAACCCACCATTTCCTATTGGTTTACATGGGAATGGCGATTTTCAAAAATTCATCAAATTTATCATCAATTTTCGACCTATTGTAAATGAGGAAAAAATTAGGAAAATTCGGAGGTTTTCGAAAAAAAGTCAAGTTACGTTTCCATCAATATTTTAAGTTATTTCATCGCAGGTTGATAAAAATCCAAATGTAAAGAGGCTTTAACATGTAGTTCAATGGGGGAGCTAAGGTTGCCAAACTTACATTGTATGGAGGGGAGTGTATGTTTCGTGTGTATGCGTTTGTTTTCGTCAATACAAATGTATGGATGTGTTTATGTATTTTTAATGCTGCATATGCGTATGTATTCGTCAATACAAATGTATGGATGAGTTAATGTCTTTTTAATGCTGTATGCATGTGTATTCGTATATGGATGAGTTTATGTTTTTTTAATGTTATACATGCGTGTGTATTCGTCAGTACAAATGTATGTGGATGGGTTTATGTCTTTTTAATGCTGTATGCGTGTGTTTTCGTATATGCAAATTATGTGGATGGGTTTATGTCTTTTTTAATGTTATATATGCGTGTGTATTCGTCAGTACAAATGTATGTGGATGGGTTTATGTATTTTTTAATGTTGTATATGCGTGTGTATTCGTCAATACAAATGTACATGTATGTGGATGTGTTTGTGTCTTTTTTACAGGGTGGGCCAATACAAATTGGAACATTTTTCTATTAATTCAATTTTCTTTATTATTGCAGTCAAGTCCACAAAAAATTCAGATATATGCACGAATTTCATATTGGTTATGTTTTTCTTATGACAGGTTTACACTTAGAGTTTGGGGTTCCTTGCTAAATTTGTTCAAGTGTTGGTCCTTTCCCTTTCGCATATGTGCTTAGATATTGATACAAATTGTGATTCCGATTTTTGAGTTTCGTTAATTATAAAATTCAAAAAAGATTGACGTTACAATCATGTAATATTACCCGATATGCGTAGACATATAAGTTAAATCAGTTTCAATAATTAAATAGAATAAATTACGTTAATTTCTTTATTTAGAGATGGGACCGATCACACCTTTTGGAAAATCTGTCTGGCTACGAAACAGATTGCGATATGATAAATCAAAGGTACCATGACTTTGCGGATGCAAAGGCGATGGCTTCAAAACGAGGCATAAAAGTGATTGGTAAATTTGGATCGGCACCACTCAAAGGGGATACCACCGAGGCGGTATCTAAAATAATCCGCTCGTGGAATTTGGTAATTATAGTTACATATTATATCCAATAATAAGCATCAATGGCCAAAGCCTATAAAATTGTATTTTTATGTCCCCACCACATAGTGTGGGGCCATATTGTCGGCCTAGGCGCGTCCGTCTGTCCGTCCGTCCGTCCGTCCGTTGGTCCGTCCGTCCGTACGTCCGGGAGTTTTCTCCAAAACCGATACAGATATCACCTTCAAATTTTCAGGGATAACTTATGAGTGCATACAGATGTGGATGAAAAAAAATTAACTCGATACCTACTTCCTGTCGGCCATTTTGAAGTCAAATGATAAAATCCTTGTCTGCAAACTTTAAGAAAAACGGCTTCACAGTTGCTTTTTGAAACTTTAACATCTTGTTCAGCTCACTTCATTCTAGATCTGATTAGGTTTTGGACCTGTTAGCTCAGTCATGTCAGCCATTTTGAATGTCTTAGGAAAAGTTAGCGCACGATAATACTTTGTATCATATTGAATGGTGTTTTTGAGTTTTCATACTTTAACTATTTAGTAGTTTCATGAATAATTTCAGATGTACTTTGTTGTAAAAGCCTATGTTATTGTTAACAGTAGTTATATGTGATAATTTTGTAAAAGAAATCAGCAAAAACTTATAATCACTTTTTTATTGTCGGCCATTTTGGATTTTTCCGTCCTAAAATCTGTGAAGTCTTGTCTACGTGTTTTCAGGTGAACCATTTGGTGGATCAATTTCAAATTTTCAGGGATGATTCTTAGTATAAAATTCTAGATCTGATTAGTTTATTGGCATTCTGGGTAACTGTCAAGGCAGCCATTTTGGATTTTCCATCCTAAAATCTTGTCTGTAAAGTCTTGTCTACGCGTTTTCAGGAAAACGGTTTGGTAGATCAATTTCAAATTTTCAGGGATGTTTCTTAGTATGAAAATGTAGAATTGATTAGTTTTTTGGCATTCTGGGTAAATGTCAAGGCAGCCATTTTGGATTTTCCGTCCTAAAATCTTGTCTGTAAAGTCTTGTCTAGCCATTTCCAGGTGAACCGTCCTGTAGATCAATTTTAAATTTTCAGGGATGATTTTTAGTATGAAAATCTAGATCTGATTCGTTTTTTGGCATTCTGGGTAAATATCAAGGCAGCCATTCTGGATTTTCCGTCCTAAAATCTTATCTGTAAAGTCTTGTCTACGCGTTTTCAGGAAAACGGTTTGGTAGATCAATTTCAAATTTTCAGGGATGTTTCTCAGTATGAAAATGTAGAACTGATTAGTTTTTTGGCATTCTGGATAAATGTCAAGGCAGCCATTTTGGATTTTCCGTCTTAAAATCTTGCCTGTAAAGTCTTGTCTACGCGTTTTTAGGTGAACCATTTGGTAGATCAATTTCAAATTTTCAGGGATGTTTCTTAGTATGAAAATCTAGAAACAGATTATTTTTTTGACATTCTGGGTAAATATCAAGGCAGCCATTTTGGATTTTCTGTCCTAAAATCTTGTCTGTAAAGTCTTGTTTACATGTTTTCTGGTTAACTGTGTGACAGATCAATTTTAAATTTGCTGGGGTGGTTCTTAGTTTGAAAATCTGACTAAATTTTTGGCATTCTGGGTAAATTTTAAGGTGGCCATTTTGGATTATCCGTCCTCAAATTGTGTTGGTAAAGTCTTGTCTACTCATTTTCAGAATAACCATTTGACGGGATCACCCATTGGTGAGGACATTTTGTACACATTTGTGTTCTTGTTTACAGTTACCGATGTATATTTGTTCAAAATATTATTTTGTAAAATAAACATATAAACAAGCATTGACGAAAAAAGGCTATATTAATTTCGCGGAGTCTTATCATAAACCACGATGAAGACGAAGCTTTCTTTTTACAAGCAAAGTCGAATGAAAGGATAGGGTATACGTAATGACCATATGACCATAATACATTAGTGATAATGATTCACGAGCGCATGCGACCCACAACGTGTTTACCTTTGTATATTGAAATCGTTTACAGGTAAATGCCAAAATGGTTGGTTGTAGTGCCATCCCTGATTGTACCATATTTGAAAAGGAGATGACAACAGTCGTATCTTGTATTTTCAGGTAGTGTACGATTACATACTCTCATATCCAGACCTCCTATACTTCCAACAACGTGAACATCAGTTCTGATATCGCGAACTACGTTCCTTGCACTCGAACCACGATTCTTACATCGCGAACGTAAAATCTTTAATCGCAAACAACCATTTCCTCGTTTCCGAACATATTTCTCGACCGACTGATGTTCGCGTTAGTGTTCACACGCACATGTTGTACATACGTAAACTATATTGCCCATTTTTGTATATAGTCTTTTGTGTTTTTTATATACTTAAATGTATTCGCGATCGAGCATTTAATTGGTTGAGCCGGCTAAACGCGATCTTTTCTTATTCTAGATCGAGTGACGTATACAGGGTGGTCCAAAAAAAGTGAACCCCTGCAACAGGCTACAATTTTCTTAATACATGCATGAATTGGCTCATATTGTCACATGTTGTAGAGAAAGGTCTAAAGTTTTGGTTGATGCCATAATTTATTCTCAGTCTCAAATTTTGAAAAAATTACAAGCGTTTAACAAACATGCCTGGAAATTATTGTACAAAATTTTACAAATGTGATTCACGGAAATTGTTGAAACACATTGGATGATCTTAAACAGCTTTCAGTTAGAGATACAAGTTTAAAACCCTACCATATGACAAAAGGGACATTATTCAAGCAGAAAACACATTTCACACTTTCATTGATCATTTTGAAGCATTTTTAACTGTTCAACAGTTCGGGGGTATGTTACCTACACCAACAGTTAGAGGTGGGCCTCTTAAGGAAGGAAGTTGCCCCCTGTGACCAGGAATCTGATAACCCCTTCATCAATATCTTTAAAAAATCAAAAGAAAATCCAATATTCAATGTTTTGAGCCATATATCATTAGAATTGGTCCATGATTTATGAAGATATTGACATTTTAAGATCATATAGGGGTATGTTCATGATTTCACTGGAAAATGTTTTCGTCTGTGGAAGCTTAGCACATCTCTTTGGATCACAATAACTTTGCAACTAACAAATGTAGGATGCTAGTTTTAAGCCATAATGTGCAAGATTTAAAACTGAACAAAGTCAGAAAATATTAGTTCTTTAAGACTGCAGCTTAAAAAATTCTCAGGGGAAACGTGTTAAAGGGTTGAAGAATCGCGGATATTGAAAATCACAATTTGTCCATTTTCAGTAATGTTTGGTTAGGGCTTATAATTTCTGCAAATTTCAAGACTAAGAAAAATGTATGGTACCAACATAAATTTTAGACCTTCCTCTACAACATGTGAAAATAAAAAATAACTCCTGCAAGTAATAAGGGAAATATGGCCAGTTGCAGGGGTTCACTTTTTTTGGACCACCCTGTATATTTTATTTGGGGGGGTCTACTCTTTTCAGGGGAATATATCAGGTTGAAACAGCATAACATGACATTACACATAGGCGATGGGTAGGTTGAACTTTTGCTGTTTAAACTGCCAGAGACTAGGTAACCCTCAAAAAAGGGCTGACATTTTTGACTACCTTAAAAACAAAAAGTTTGATATTGTATGTCTTCAGGACATACATTGTTCAACCGAATCAGTTCAAAATTTTGAACAGAATGGGGTAACAAAGCCTTTATTAGCACTTATAGAGGGAATAGTGGAGGGGTTGGTATTTTTTGTGGGGATCAAATGGATTATAAAGTGCATGACAGTTTCATAGATAAAAACGGAAATTTTGTTATCCTTGACATCGAAATAGACAACTTGAGATTAACACTTGTAAATGTATACGGTCCAAATAACGACACTCTAACTTTTTACACTGAAATAAAAAATAAAATCGAACTTTTTGACAACGCTTCCATTGTCGCAATGGGAGACTGGAATATGGTCATGGACAAAGATATGGATACGTTAAATTACAAACATTTGAATAATCCAAACTCGAGGAAAAAAGTCCTTGAAATGTGTGAGCAACTTGAATTGTATGACATTTGGCGAGAACTTAACTCGGAAGAGAAAAAATTTACATGGCTTAGACGAAATCCACGTCAGATGGCTAGATTAGACTTTACTTTGTGCACCGCTGATATTATAAATTTGACACAAAAATGTAATATTTTGCCGGCATATAGATCTGATCATAATATTATTACACTATCTGTGAAGACAGATCTACCTAATAGGGGTAGAGGTTTTTGGAAGTTTAATGCTTCACTACTTAAAGATCAACAATATATAGATATTGTCAAATCCAAAATTAACGAAACTTTTGATCAATATGCAATCAGAAACGAGGTAAATGCGGTTTTGAATGATAATCAGCAAGTAGCCCTTTCAATCAATGATCAGCTCTTTTTCGAAATGTTAAAGCTAGAAATCAGGGGAGAAACAATAAAATACTCTGCCAGAAAGATAAAATTAAGGGATAAAGTTCAAAAAGATATCGAATATAGAATTAATATAACGGAACCAGAAATTGAAAACATCTTACAAAGGGGCTCAACAGAACTTGACGACCTGAGTAATAAATACGAAACTTTGAGCAATTTTAAATCTGAATTAAAAACTTATCGAGAACATTACATAGAAGGATTAATGATGAGAGCAAAACTAGATTGGTATGAGTACGGGGAAAGAACAACTTAATATTTTAGCGGACTTGAGAAAAGAAATTATGTTAATAAAGTTATTACTAATATTGAAGTCGATGGAAATCTATTAACAGATCCAAAAGAAATTTTAGAAGCACAAATGCGTTTCTATGAAGATCTTTATTCAAGCAAAGTCGATTGTACGAACGAAAATATTAATGTGTTTTTTAACAATGATCAAATGAATAAACTAAGTGAAGAGGACGGTTTTAGTGTAGAGTTCTATAAGTTTTTCTATAAGGACATTGGCTCCTTTCTCAACAAGGTGTTATTACATGTATACCAAAAGGGAATAAACTTAGAAAATATTTTAAGAATTGGAGACCCATTTCGCTTCTGAATTCAGATTATAAACTTTTATCTTACTCTTTAGCAAATAGAATGAAAAAGGTTCTCCCGAGCATTATTTCGCCAGAGAAAACAGCTTATCTGACGGGTCGTGAAATGTCGGAAAATACGAGATTAATCTTTGATGTTATGGACTGTTTAAATAAAAAACAGATGTCTGGTTTATTGCTTTTAGCAGATTTTGAAAAAGCATTCGACAGTATCGAATGGAAGTATTTAGAGAAATGCTTGATTAAATTCAATTTTGGCAACAGTTTTGTCAAGTGGTTCAAACTTTCATACAATGGTGCTGAAAGTGCGGTTATTAATAATGGTCACCTTTCATATTTTTTCAAATTAAGAGAGGCTGCCGCCAAGGGGACTCTCTATCTTGCTATGCATTCATTCTTGCTCTTGAACCTCTCTGTCATCATATAAAAAATGATAAAAATGTTAAAGGGTTGAAAATTTTTGACCATGATGTTAAAATTGGCATGTATGCCGACGACACTTTCATCACCCTTGACGGTTCCGAAGCTTCACTCAGAAAATGTCTAAATACCTTTTCTCTGTGCCAACAAACATCAGGACTTAAATTAAATATCGAAAAAACCGTCATCTCTGTCATGATCTACCCTTGAAATGGGAAAGTTCCTTTAAATTATTAGGAACTCAATTTAATAGCGATTTGATAAATATTGAAAAAGATAATCAATCTTGGGGTAAAATTAACTGAGATACAAACTGTAATTAGTAGATACAAAAGAAGAAATTTATCATTAATTGGGAGAATAACAGTTATTAAATCATTTGCACTGTCTAAGATTGTCCATATTATGATGAGTTTACCAAAAATATCTCTTGAATATCATAAACAATCAAAGAATCTTTTCGTAACGTATCTCTGGAACTCGGCGGTTTCAAAGGTAACTTTCAGTCAAATCTGCCAAGATTTTAAAGATGGCGGTCTTAAAATGATAGATCCGCAAATATTTGAACAATCTTTAAAACTGACCTGGTTACAAAAACTAACAAAAAACGGTACGTGGCAATCCGTGGTACTGAGCAGCATCGGAGTTCAACACGCGCAAGAATTATTCTCATACGACTCTAAATCACTTCAGAAAATTGAATCAAAAATTGTCAATCCTTTCTGGAAAGGAGTAATTAATATTTTTAGATCATATACTGTATTGAAGGAAAATGAATTTGAACAAAAATCAGATTTGAAAGCGGAGTATCTAATGAATTGCACCTGGCTAATGTATAGTAAAAACCAGAATGGAAATGCCGCCATCAAAAATATTAAAAACAACAGTGTTCTTACTCTGAAGGACATGCTCTTTAATTCCAAACGATTCTTTACCCTGAACGAATTCAAAGAACGCTTCAATTAAAATATAATTTTTTTAGACTTCTTAAGTCTTAAAAATACAATACCAGTTAAATGGACAAAAACAATATTCGAAAACGACAAAACTCTTGACCACTATCCAAACAGCAAAAAGCATCTATTGAAATTCACAGGAAAAAATAAGATCTCCAGAACAATATTTTGGGAATTCATTAAGGATCTTGATTTTAATAAAAGTTATATTTTAAAGTGGAACGATGAACTGAATATTGATCTCAATAATCATGAATGACATATCATAAATACTATGAACAAAGTGAGTAATTTTGAGCCAAAACTAGCATCTTTTAACTATAAAGTGCTCCACAGAATTTTGCCTACAAATAAATATCTACATATGTGCGGTCTCCAAGATTCTGCCCTTTGCAGTTTTTGCGGAAACCAAGTCGAAACTATTGGCCACCTTCTCCTTCATTGTGAATTTGCAAACAAATTGCTGAGTGATATTAAAGTCCCCGATAAATCGGGCTACGTATACCGCCGTGTTTACATTAGGGGATTAGAAGAGTTTATTTTTTATTTAGGTATGCAAGCTACGTACAACTGTACAGAAGAAGACATACAGAATGTGAATATGTATACAAATACGATTGCTCATGTTAAAAAAACGACAAATAAACAAACTGTAATGGCTGTATATCAATATTAGGCCTTCATTCATGTACTCGTGTGCATGTAATCAGCATGCCCTTCAATATTATGTAAACCAGGCTATTCAAGTATAATGTACACTATTTATGTGTGTACTACATACAATACAATTCCCTGGGAAACAAAACACAAATACGTTTTATATGTTCAAAATGAGCCATTTGATTGATGCAAACACTAAATAGCTTCATAAATAACATCTACAAAGTATATCTAATAGTAATTTTCAATTTCAATGTTGAAACTTCCCTGGTTAAGATTATATGGGAAATCATCACGAGACGAAGATCGTTCGCCTTCCTGGCTTACCTCTGAATCGTGTACCGGGCAATCTCTTTATATAGTTTAGCGAGAGCGGTGCGCCTGCGCAGTTTTAAACTTTGGCGCACACTTTAAGAAATGGTTGCCAGAGGGACTGTCAGTTTTAAGTGATCCGAGAACGATCATATTGGGTCCAGTAATCATGAACGAAAAATCAATACTATTAAACACAATTTTTTGCATATATAAAAGATATATTTATCTATGTAAATGTAAAAATGTACGACCAAATTTTGTAGGTTTTAAAAGTAATGTGCAACAATATTTTCAACTAGATGTAAAGTTGGAGAAAGGGGACAAGTGGGAAGAGATCAAACATTATTATAACATAGTGAATTTACTTGAATTTTCTCGGATGATCTTAGATATATATTACTCCGAAGAATCTACATAAAATGTAGCAACAATGCAACACTATATCTACTCATGGTGCTCTTGGCAGAAATACCTGCAATTTATTATAGAAATAATGTAGAACCTTGTTTATATTGAACATTTGTATTTATTGAATTGTAATGCTGCTAAACCTGATATAAAAATCTATTAAAAAAAGATGTTTGCGTTGTTGGAAGTCTAGGAGGCCTGTATTTCAACGGGCGTTTGTAAAACACGAAACGAAACTAAACCAAAACGAAACGAAACCAAAACGAAACCAAACCAAACCAAAACGAAACGAAACGCTATTTTGTGACGTACATTCAGGACATTTCTGTTTGCAGATGTTTCAACGAATAATTCCTTTTAATCATTGGTCCTCAGAGTGATGACGACATCGATGCGCTAATTTCACGAAGGCTATTACTTTTACCCTTGTTTCTATCATGGACCTCTATCCTCTAGAGCAGTGTAGTCATTAAGTCATTAATCAAAATTGTCCAAAAGAGCCACGGACCTAAGTCATTGTTTCTTTCGAAACTAATATTTCCATATAATTATACCAGGATTGGAAACAGGAATTCAAAAAAATAAAGTTACCTTTTTTATTTCCCAATTCTCGCCTAAATTAGCTCATCTTGGTGACTTAAACTTGCACAGCTGTATTAACAAGATTCTAATAGTATCTAAACACTGGAAATCATAACTATAAGTATATCTATTAGCCTCATTTGAATATTTTTGTCAACTGGTAAGATTCAGCAAGAGTTTTGGCAATGGATGATGTAATCAGAATTATGAACATCAGTCTAAAGAATGTCCAATCAAATAGCATGATATGATCACATGATCAATCACAAGCACATGTTTTCTAACATGTCTAAGAGTTAACCAATGATGCCTGTTTATTTAGAGTTGATAACGTGACCTTCTGCCAAAGCGCTTGCTGAGTCCTGTTTCCAATCGTGGTATATTTATAAGGAAATAAGTTTCGTTAGAAAGATTGACTTAAGTCCATGAAAAGAGCGATGTTTTTATATTTTGCAAGGGCGAGAAACGTATGGGAAACGTTTAATTTTGTTCTAAATTGATCGGTACTGTTTAATTATATTATTCGAAAATGTTTTCAAACATATTGTGACGGTAGCGCATTTTTATTGCTTAACTTAAAACATAATTTTCGTGTACTAATCAAGTAAAACAAATAATGATTTAGGCCTATATATGGTAAAAGAGGAATTCTTTCTCGTTTTAACAGTTTTTATTTCATGGAAATCGGAGTTATAATTATTGAGTTAGAGTGAATTTAATCAGCAGTGTAAATTGGCGAGTTTATTGTTTTACCGGCCGCCGGCCGCTATTAGTTATAGTTTTCAGTTTACTGGGTTTCTGTTTCGTCTTGTGCAGAGAAAACTATACGGTTATAAATTCTGGGAATTATTTCTTTAAACAAGATTGAATCAAGCTTTTTAACAGTGTTTATATCGTTTAAATTAGTCTTATATGTGCAGAGATATCCTAAGTTGAAAAGCTGTATTTTTAGTAGATTTGTGCATTTTTTACGGCTATGGCTTAGCGCATCTTGTCCCAAGTTTGATTGACAGCTAGTTAATTTATGCACACTTTGAAGTTAGTGTTGTCTACATGGTCTCTATTAGCAACGAGACAGTTTTTGAACAATTTTTCGACGTTTTCACGGATCACGGATGTATGTGAGATCGTCAGTCTAGATTTGAAAGTTCGATGGTAAAGATATATATAAGAGTCAAGAATTTCTGTTGAAACCAGTAGATTTAATCGTATAAATCAATATTCGTAGGATAGTTTGGATTTATTACAGAGAAACCTTAATTTGGATATATACATGTACATTAGTGGATATTGTAATTGGCGACTTGTGATGTATTCTGATATCAGGTAATGGTGTTAGCGCTACATTTTGCCGATAGATGGCACTGGTGTCGAATAAAAACCAAAGAGCTCTTCAAACTATTCACTTCACTAGGCCTACTTCATTTAAATAACAACTATTTCAATAAAAACCTATTAATCGTACTTTGTATATTGTAACGAAATATTTTTTTTAAAATTTTTATGTGGTCAGTTGGGAAAGGTTTTTAGTACTTTATACCACAGTCTCCCGATTATAGTGAAGCTAGTTAGTTAGACACATATTTGGGTAATTATTTTTATTCTAAACCCAAAATTGTCGCTTTTATCTATGAGTGTTTGGTTTCGTTTCGTTATGGTTTCGTTATGGTTTCGTTTCGTTTCGTTTTGGTTTCGTTTCGTGTTTTACAAACGCCCTATTTCAACTTAGTCCTTTTCCAATGAAAAAACGAAACATGGTAAATAATCAAACTCTTATAATGGCAGCTAGGGTAATAATTCGAATCCAAGATTTTAGTATTTATCCCTGAAGTGTATTTCCTTATATATACAGGGTGTCAAAAAACAACAGCACCCCCCTCTACAGCAAAATGTACTTAATGTTACATAGTGTGTCATATCCCATATTAAAGACAATTTAATTCTGGAGTTACTTGAGAAATTTCAGCTCCGTATGATATAATTTTACAGATTTACAGTTTATTATAAGTAGTTGGTATGGCCACCACCTTCAGCTCGAAAAGCAGCTAATCTGGATGGATATGATTTCAGTGAGGATTCAAAGAAAGGTTCAGCATTGCGTAACCCTTAAAGCACTTTCCTCATATTCTTCAGAAATACATCCTTACTGTATCTATTTTCAAGAGACCCCCTCTCCATCAATTCCCCTACCCTGTCTTTCACAATTGAACCTATATGTTCAGCGTAGTTGAGATCTGGGCTATTTCCTACATATTAATAATTTCCAAGATTTGACCTTAAACCAGTAATAAAGTAGCAAACAAAGTACTGAAGTATCCAACTTCGAAACAATATAGCTTTTTTAATTTAAAGTTTTATGAAATTAAATTTGACGAGTAACTCCAGAATTAAATTATCTTTCAGATGAGATATGACATGCCATGTAACATTTAGGAGTTTTTGCTGTAGAGGGGGGTGCCGTTGTATTTTGACACCCTGTACTATATTACAACAGTCGAATGCTCAAGATAGCATGAGGACATTCTAAGAAATAAACATGGATGCTTTTGATTTCAATTTGCAAATGAACCATATAAGTGTAGTTTTGGGGAGTTCCCCTGTATTTTGCCATAATTCTGCAACTGAGCAGTTTTGTCACTTCTTACCTCATGTCAAATGGTAATAAAGCAATAACAAATTGTATCTTCCCAAATTGTACATGTATGTTTCCATTTGGCATCACTCAAAGTATTCTACTTGATCAACATTTTCAACATCAGCGTTTTCTGCGTTCTATATCAGCGACATATATCGACGCATGAAATGACATAACGTAAGAATAAAAGATGTATGTCACATGGAGAATGGAAATTATATTCTTTAATGTGAATGTGTAATTTATGTTTCAGTCTGTAGACCGCAGCCGTGAGTGAGCCCGTGTAGGAGTATACAAATGGGATGATACCAGAGACCATATATATAATGGCTTAATCAGATTTGTAAAAAACTTTATTGAAAAATAAAAATAATGGCAAATGCTATATGGAGATTGATTGTATATGTTGTAATCACCGGTAGTATCCAAAGCCCCGCTATGATTTCAAAGTCGCGAGCAAGTTCCCGCTGAAATCGCGAGGAATAAAAAAGTAATGGGTTGTCTTTTGTTTACTTGAATTGTATGATGTACAAAACGTTTTCTTTTTAATTTTCCGCAATGATTACATGGTATTGAGACTAAAAACTTAAAGGCAACTGATGGAAAAAGTATCACGAGCGGCCGTTCTATGGTTCTTTATTAAATTGACAATTGAAGAGAGAAAAGTATCATCTAGAATCTTTATCTCTATATTTCTATACGTTATAGGTGAAGAACGACATTGTCCTGTGGTAGAAATAATGGTAGTGATTTGAAATAAATATGTACTGAGTTTCACTTCCTAAAGCTTTACAGAACACTTTATATTTCAATTTTATCATATCTCTCAAGGCCCAGCTTCTAGCGCAGCAAAAAAGCAAAGACCCCGCTGAAATCATGAGGAGACCCCGCTAAAAACATGAGGAGGTCCCGCTGAAAACAGGAGCAAGTGTCTCTCAAAAATGGAATGAATCCTGATTATACCGTGAAAATCTCCCACTATCGTACCCAGCTTGATCCACTATTGTACCCAGTTTCATGAATACATCATTTGTTGATACAATTCTCAAAAACAGCAAATACTGTATTGATATAGTACATATTATGATACGTTGTAATGGAAAAACTGCAGTATGATAGTCGATGCCATTTTCCAGAATGAAAAATGTGATGAGAATTAGATTTCCCTCCCTTTTCAGAAATGAACGAACGCACGAACGAATGCAAAAAGTATTTACCAACATATAACGGACGAACCCTTGCACGGACGCACGCACGAACGAACGCATGCACGTTTAAATGCACACATGAATGAACGGTCGGACGTTCAGATAGACGCACTTATGAATGAATGGACAGTCGGACGAAAACAAGCAAGAACGGACGATTGGACGAACGCATGCAAGCACGAACGAACGGTCGAACGAATGCACTAACGAACGGCCGGTAGAACAAACGCACGCACGAACGAACGGACGGTCGGACGAACGCACACTCGAACGAATGGATGGTCGGACGAACGCACGCACGCGCTAACGATCGGACGGACGAACACCCGAACTGACGGTGGGACAAACAAACGCACGAATGGACGGTTGGATGGGCGCTGTCACGAACAGACGGTTTGACGATAGCACGAATGGACGATTTGACTATCGCACGAATGCACGAACGAACGAACGAACAAACGCTCAAACGACGCATGCCTGGGCGAACGAATTTCGAACGAACGCACCAACGAACGAACGGAAGGTCGAACAAACGCACACACGAACGTACGGTCGGACAAACGCATGCACGAACGAACGAACGGCCAGACGAACGCACCCAAGAATGGACGGTCAGAAGAACAAACAAGCCGATGTAATATATGTGTCCTCTTGTACGTTCATATAAAGAAACTCAATATCTTCATGGAATAATAATGAAGCTTTCCTCGCGATCGAAGCGGGACCTCCTCATGTTTTCAGCGGGACCTCCTCATGTTTTCAGCGGGGCCACTGAAACACCTTTAATGATGTATTTTGACCCCCATGGCAGACGTAATTGCACAGTTACTTATCAATACAGACCATATTGATCCAATATGTATTATGGAGTATGTAAATCGTATGACTACTATGGGTACTTACATAGATTGACAAAGGGCCTAATGAACCGCAATAATTGGCCAATTATCTCTCCGTTGTTCACGTGCACCGGGTCGTGTAGAAAATCACCGGGGCGTGTAGAAAATCGAGGCGCCCGGAGCGAAGGGTGTTTTAACCCTAGAAAAATTCCTTCGGCAGGGTAGAATTTCCACCGTTTCCCGAGGGTGGGGGCTAGAAAGGGCGGGGTAGTTAGGGTGGTGCGGGCCGAGTTCCGGGTATCCCGGACGCGCTGGGAAGATCGGCGCGATCCCCGAGTTCGTAGGGGCGACGGTTCTCGAGTAACGGGGCTCAGTCGTAGGACCCCCGTAGCCACGGTTTCGCCGATAGATCTAGACGCTATGCTACTAGGTATAGCGGGAGGGAGGGGGAAGGACGAATAAATCGAAGGGAAGAGTCGTTTTACTTATGCTTTTTACCGACTGTTCGAAGTTTATATTTATCGTTAGTTTCAAGTAATAGAATGAAAACATGCTATATACTTAAAAACAAAACTGGATGACAGGCGAGCATTCTACCACTGAACCATCAGTGCTTTCATGTTGTAAGTAAAGTATAATTCATAAAAGAATATAGTTTCTCTTCATATACGTATTTAAATGAAAAACATTGCACTGACCAGGAATTGAACCAAGGGCAGCTGGATGACAAGCGAGCATTCTACCACTGAACCATCAGTTATTTCATGTTGTAAGTAAAATATGATTCATATTAATAGAAATTTCTCTTCATATCAGTATTTAAATGAAAAACATTGCACTGACCAGGAATTGAACCATGGGCAGCTGGATGACAGGCGAGCCTTCTACCACCGAACCATCAGTGATTTCATGTTGTAAGTAAAATATAATTCATAAAAAAATGTAATTTCTCTTCATATCAGTATTTAAATGAAAAACATTGCACTGACCAGGAATCGAACCATTGCCAGATGGATGACAGGTTAGCATTCCAAAATTGAACCATCAGTGATTTCATGTTGTAAGTAAAATATAATTCATATAAATATAAATTTCTCTTCATATCAGTATTTAAATGAAAAACATTGCACTGACCAGGAATTGAACCATGGGCAGCTGGATGACAGGCGAGCATTCTACCACCGGACCATCAGTGATTTCATGTTGTAAGTAAAATATAATTCATAAAAAATGTAATTACTCTTCATATCAGTATTTAAATGAAAAACATTGCACTGACCAGGAATTGAACCATGGCAAACTGGATGATAGGCGAGCATTCTACCACTGAACTATCAGTGCTTTCATGTTGTAAGTAAAGTATAATTCATAAAAGAATATAGTTTCTCTTCATATACGTATTTAAATGAAAAACATTGCACTAACCAGGAATTGAACCATGGGCAACTGGATGACAGGCGAGCATTCTACCACTGAACCATCAGTGATTTCATGTTGTAAGTAAAGTATAATTCATAAAAGAATATAGTTTCTCTTCATATATGTATTTAAATGAAAAACATAGCACTGACCAGGAATTGAACCATGGGCAGCTGGATGACAAGCGAGCATTCTACCACTGAACCATCAGTGATTTCATGTTGTAAGTAAAATATAATTCATATCAATAGAAATTTCTCTTCATATCAGTATTTAAATGAAAAACATTGCACTGACCAGGAATTGAACCATGGGCAGATGGATGACAGGCGAGCATTCTACCAACGGACCATCAGTGATTTCATGTTGTAAGTAAAATATAATTCATAAAAAATGTAATTTCTCTTCATATCAGTATTTAGATGAAAAACATTGCACTGACCAGGAATCGAACCACTGCCAGATGGATGACAGGTTAGCATTCTACCACTGAACCATCAGTGCTTTCATGTTGTAAGTAAAGTACAATTCATAAAAATAGTAATTTCTCTTCATATACGTATTTAAATGAAAAACATTGCACTGACCAGGAATTGAACCATGGGCAGCTGGATGACAAGCGAGCATTCTACCACTGAACCATCAGTGATTTCATGTTGTAAGTAAAATATAATTCATATTAATAGAAATTTCTCTTCATATCAGTATTTAAATGAAAAACATTGCACTGACCAGGAATTGAACCATGGGCAGCTGAATGATAGTCGATGCCATTTTCCAGAATGAGATAGGTCATCTGAAAAATGTGATGAGAATTAGATTTCCCTCCCTTTTCAGAAATGAACGAACGCACGAACGAATGCAAAAAGTATTTACCAACATATAACGGACGAACCCTTGCACGGACGCACGCACGAACGAACGCATGCACGTTTAAATGCACACATGAATGAACGGTCGGACGAACGTACGTAACGTCTGAACGCACAAACCGACGGCTAGACAAACGTGCGCAAAAACGACCAGACAAACGCACGCATGAACGGACGGTCGAAAGAACGCACGCACGGACGAAAGGACGTTCAGATAGACGCACTTATGAATGAATGGACAGTCGGACGAAAACAAGCAAGAACGGACGATTGGACGAACGCATGCAAGCACGAACGAACGGTCGAACGAATGCACTAACGAACGGCCGGTAGAACAAACGCACGCACGAACGAACGGACGGTCGGACGAACGCACACTCGAACGAATGGATGGTCGGACGAACGCACGCACGCGCTAACGATCAGACGGACGAACACCCGAACTGACGGTGGGACAAACAAACGCACGAATGGACGGTTGGATGGGCGCTGTCACGAACAGACGGTTTGACGATAGCACGAATGGACGATTTGACTATCGCACGAATGCACGAACGAACGAACGAACAAACGCTCAAACGACGCATGCCTGGGCGAACGAATTTCGAACGAACGCACCAACGAACGAACGGAAGGTCGAACAAACGCACACACGAACGTACGGTCGGACAAACGCATGCACGAACGAACGAACGGTCAGACGAACGCACCCAAGAATGGACGGTCAGAAGAACAAACAAGCCGATGTAATATATGTGTCCTCTTGTACGTTCATATAAAGAAACTCAATATCTTCATGGAATAATAATGAAGCTTTCCTCGCGATCGAAGCGGGACCTCCTCATGTTTTCAGCGGGACCTCCTCATGTTTTCAGCGGGGCCACTGAAACACCTTTAATGATGTATTTTGACCCCCATGGCAGACGTAATTGCACAGTTACTTATCAATACAGACCATATTGATCCAATATGTATTATGGAGTATGTAAATCGTATGACTACTATGGGTACTTACATAGATTGACAAAGGGCCTAATGAACCGCAATAATTGGCCAATT